CCCATAACATAGGCCAAAAATATAATATATCATAAGATTGATACTGGAGATGCAGCTCCAATACGTCAATTAGCCAGATGACTCCTATTTCAAAAACAAGCTAAGGTTTTAAAAAGATAAAACCCTTAAAGAAACAAGGAGAAACAGACCGAGTACTAGTACTTGAGAATCACCTTTAGTGCTTGTGAAGAAGAAAGATGGATACATTAGATGCTGCATGAACTAACTGAAGGTGAATGAAGTCATAAAGAATTATTCTTACCAACTGCAGGGACTTTTTCTGGATCTAAATGGTTTTCAACATTGGATCTAAAGAGTGGATATTGGCAAGTGCAAATAAATTAACCACGTAGAGAGAAAACAGCCTTTACAGTAGGAAATGGATTGTGGCAATTTAATGTATTACCATTTGGATTATGTAATGTATCTGCTACATCTCAATGACTAATGGAGTTTGTTCTTTCTAAACTACCCTGGAACGTCTTAATCATTTACTTGGATAACATAATCACACATGGAAAAAAACCTTTGATAAAGCTCATCATGGGCTAAGGAAAGTTATGGATTGGTTGAGAAAGAAGAGTACATTAAGATAATTCTTAAGAAGTGTGAATTGTTCCATCAAGAAGTAAGTTTCCTGAGACATATAATCAGCAGAGAGGGAACTTATACACACCCATCTAAGACTGAGTCGGTTCTGTATTGACCAGCACCAAATAATTTATTAGAGGTAAGATGGTCTCTTATGCTCTAATTATTGTCGTTTTATAAAATCATTTTCTGGCATAGCTCTCATCTACACAAATGTATTGAAGATCAAATAAGTTTACGAACATGCACCCTCGATCTAACATCTAAATTAAAACATTGAAAATATAGCTTAAAACAGTATTTTAAGGGTAGGCTCTCTCTTGTTCAGCAGATTGTTTTTTTAATTCTTATTTCAGGCAGGATCAGAGAATTGGAGATTTTAGCATAAGTATCATTCAAGATTCAAAGGTTTTTGGTGAGACCTTAAGATTTTGTAAGGCAAAAAACTTTGAGCATACTTAACGATTTTAAATACAGCTGTGATATGTATGCATATCATATGATTTACTCCTGTTTTTAGTTATATAGGAACTTCAAAAAATGATTTACTTAGTTTCCATGCAGTTGTTGCAAACAAAATGGTTAAAAAAACAATGAAGTTGCCTTGTTCTAGTTGCTTTGTTTTCTAAAATAAATAATGTCTATTCTACACAAGGGGATATTACAGTAACATATAGCATCTGTGTTGAAATGATCGCTGACTGCAATATCCTTTGTTGTCGACTGGACAAAGAAACCATTTTTACCTAACAAATAAATTCAAGCACAGTTTTTACTTCGGTTCTACAAAGACATCTTTAAGTAAAGAAAGTATTTGAGATCATTGTGGTTTAGTTCTGCAGAGATCAATCCTGAAAGAGCAGAAGTATTGGGAATATTGACAATGGTCCTGCCTGTGCAAGTATGTACATGCATTTCTTTTTGTTTAATAATAAATATTGTGTTTGTATAATTCAAAACTTATCAAATCTCACTATTTCTCAAATATAAAACTTGGCCAAGATTTCAAATATAGGCTACTCCACAAATTTCTTGGTCAATCCTGCTGTTATTAGCGAGTATCATCCTAGCAGCCTTCCTTTGAACTTTTTCTAACAATTCAATATTTTTTCTAAGGTAAGAAGCCCAAGACTGAACAAAATACTCCAAATGTGGCCTAATCAATGACCTGTACAATGGCTTGTATATTCAGGATTTCTGCAAATACAGCCTAAAGGTTTATTTGCCCTGCCACTAGTAACACCACAATGCTTGGATGACTTAAAAGACTGATCAACCAGAATACCAATATCATTTTCTTCCATAACACTATTAAGTTTGTTTCCATCAAAGTTATACTGGAAATTCAAATCGCCAAATAATCCAAGTCCTTTTGTAAAGCAGAAGGATCCTCCTCACAGCCAGTAACAACAAAAACTTTAATATAATCAATAAATTTAGATAATTTATTGACCATTCCTTCATCTAGGTCATTAAGGTAAACGAAAAAGAGCAAAGGTTCTAACCCTGAGCTCTGAGGTATCTCACATGTGATATTAATACAGTTTGATTGAAGTCCATTTATAACAACCCTCTGCTTTCTTCCATCCACCCAGTTCTGTCGATGGTCCTACCTATTTCCTATACCTACAGAGATAAATGTCTTAACAAGACTTTTATGTGGCACCTTTTCAAAGTCCAGATACATCAAATCGACATCCATGCCCTCATCTACATGAACAGTAACCACTTAAAAGTGTCAAAAGATTAGTTAGTCAGTTTTTCTTATTCCTTTTGGGTGATGAGAGATTTCCACTTTTTACTGTCACACACGACTTCTTCGGCCTCCTTCCAGTTCATCTGAATTTCCTGTAAGTCTTCTTTAAAGATCTTAATGGTGTTATACCAGATCATCTTTGAATGGCTACATTTCCTATGGCCAAGTAGTGGTACCCAGTCCAATGCTATCTTTGTATGTCGACTATCTGGAAGTCTGATTACATGACTGGCCAGCTTCAATCTGCACTCTGTCAAAATATCTTCAAATCATCTCTGTCCACTTCGTCGTATGACCTCTTCATTGGTGACGTGGTCTGTGTATGAGATACCCAGGATTTTACAAGGACACTTCTGATGAAAAATGTTAAGTTTGTGAGATACTTTTGTTGTCTTTTTTACACGTCTTGCAAACATATATAGTTCTTGGTAAAACAACAGAGTTATAAGCCCGTAGTTTCGCAGTCACATGGATGGCATTAGTGGACCGAATGTTTCCAACTTGTTGGAACACTGCTGATGCTTTTCCTAGACAAGCGTTGACCTCATTTTCCAAATCTCCACCCCTAAAAATGTTGCTGTTGAGGTATGTGAAGTGGTCGATGCTTTCAATGTTTTGTTGGTTGAATGTTATTGTACAGCTCTGGTGCTTTACAATACATATAACCTTGGTCTTCTTGCTACTTATTCTCAGGTCAACTCTCCAGGTATTATAATGAAGATCAGTAGTCATCTGCTATACTGTATCTGATGCTTGGCTCAGCAATGCTATGTCATCAGCAAAGTCAAGATCCAATAGCCGTTTTTTGTTTTTTTTGCTACCATTGGGTGTATTATTCATGCCGAACCATTGTTATTGTCATAATGAAGTCGACAACAAGGAGAAAAATATATAGAGATAATATGCAACCTTTTTGCACTCCAGTCACAATGTCAAGGAAGTCTCTGACACCAGTGTTGATCTTCACACAGCATATGGAGTTTTTGTTCAGCACTTTGAAGATATTAATATATTTATCAGGTATGCCATATGCCAATTATTGTGGAAAATGAATGATATCAAAAGTCTTCTTAAAATCAATGAAGTTGGCTGCCAGGGGCTGCTGATATTTGATGTTCTGTTTTATGACCTGTTAAAATGTGAATATTTGCTAGCTGCAATATCGGTCACGGTGAAATTCAACTTGTTCTTCTCTGAATATTTTATTGATATCTGTATTCAGTTGGCTAAGGATTATGATGCAAAAAACTTTCCCTGGGGCTGTGAGTAATTTAATTCTGCGCCAGTTGTTGCAGTTGGCGAGGGTGTCCTTATTTGTATATATCATTCATGTTTATGTCGAACTGTAAAGAGTTGTCTTAAGGGTCAAAATCGAATGTGACTTGTGGACTTGGCTGGTTTAGG